GTAGTAAGCCTGAGCTAATGGCTGAGCAGTTTTAAATAAAAATTGCTGTGAACATATTCTCTTCTGGGGAAGAATATACATGGTTCTAAGAGACAAACAAATATCAAACTGTGATTAAAGAGGAAGGGAGAGGAGGCAAAAAAAAAAAAAAAAAAAAAAAAAAAGGCTACAGGGATCTATGACCATGCCTAACAGTGACTTTGAAATCTTCAAAAGGATGATGGGACCCCACAAAGATATTCCACATAGACTATGGTAAGCCATTAATCTGATTGACACCATGGAAAGATCAACTTTGGACTACGAACTGCTCAGGACAATTTTGAGATGGCTAGCTGAGATGGTCCAGATTTACAGACTACTCGAGCAGGGACTTAAGATAAGCCCTGAACTTTCCCATTATGCAGAAACAGGACAAATGATACAGGACTCGACAATTAACCCCAAAACTTTCTTTTCAGGATTCCCTAAAGATGTCTTCACCCCCAGAAAACAAGAAGTAATTTTAAGAAAATGACGCCCACATTCCCAAGATGCGGGATGGGAGGTTTTAGTTGTTTAATAAGTTATGGATATTGTCATTGTTTATGATGGTTGGTTACAAGTTGTTAATTGTTAATGGTCAGGAAAAAAGCTGAACAAGAAGATTAGATTCAGAGGTTTTGTTTAAAAAAGAAAACAGAGAATATAGATATGACGTAGATCATTGAATCTACTCTGAGGAAAAAGATAAAGAAAAAATAGGATAAATGGGTAGATCATTGTATCTACTCTAAAAAGAAAAAGGGGAAGATATAAAAATGATAAAAGGTAGATTATTGAATCTATTATGAAAAGAAAAAAGAAAATATGAATATTATAAGATAAAAATGTCAAATATTGAATCTAGTTTTACAAAGGAACTACTTGTTTTACATAGGATAAGTAATGAAATTTTTTGTCTGAGTTTATCAAATGTTACTGGACTAGACATTGTTAATATATATAATGGAGTTTTTTGTCTGAATCTGTTAAATATTAATGGACTAGACATTGTTAATGTAATTCTTGACTGTATATATTGTATATACTCATTGGATATAGTTTTTTTTGTATTAGTTATAAACTTTTTAAATTTTAAACAAAAAGGGGCAAATGTGGTGATATTGTATTTGCCAATATATCACGCACCCTAATAAATTTATCTGGGGTCAGAGAACAGAACAGCCACTAGACAGACTTAGAGACCAGAAAATGGTGGCACTCACACCTTTAGTCCTAGCATTCCAGAGGCAGAGATCCGTGTGGATCTCTGTGAGTTCAAGGCCACACTGGAAACAGCCAGGTGTGGTAACAAGAGTCTTTAATCCCAGGAAGTGATAGCAGAAAGCACAAAGGTATTTAAGGTGTAAGAATGAGGAACTAGAGCTGGTTAAGCTTTTGGCCTGGTTAAGCTTTTAGGCGTTTGAGCACCGGTTCAGTTGAGATTCATTCTGGATGAGGACTGAGAGACTTCCAGTCTGAGGAAACAGGATCAGCTGAGGAATTGGCAAGGTAAGGTGGCTGTGGCCTGCTTTATTTTTCTGATCTTCCAGCATTCACCCCAATACCTGGTTCAGGTTTGATTTTATTAATAAGACCTGCTAAGGTTCCTACTACACTTAAGGGCATTGAATTCACTACCACTTAATTTGAGACTTGATTGAGTATATAAATAACGTGTAAACAAAGCGTGAAGTATGCATGCATGTACTAGGTCTTTTACTCCAGAACATCCATCTTCCCTGTGTTGTTTCATTTCTCATGAGTATGACCAAATTCTTGATAAGAGTAATTACATATATAAATGATTTATTTTGTCTCACAGTTTAAGACTGTCATGGGTGAAGAAAGCTTAGTATAATAGAACACTTCACAAGCCAGGAAGTAGAGAAAGGGGAATCATAGACTATCTTCTAGATCTTGCACCCACACTTTCCCCTTTATTCTGTTTTAAATCCTCAGTCCATAAACAGTATCACTTGCCTTTAGAGCAAGTGAGCCCCTCTTCAGTTAGTCAGTTCTGAAAATAACCTAACAGATTATACCCAGAGTCATGCCTAAATCTCCAAGTTGATTCTAAATCTGGTCAAATTGACAACGAAGATAAGTGATCACATTTTTACATAAACATAGCACAGTACCCTCCTATCCTCAGAAAAATAAAGGGTAGATGGAGAACCCATAGAATGATAGCAATTATAGAAGCTTCAATTATATCAAATTACAGTAGTCTTATTGACACCTGAGTTGATAAAAGATTCTAGTTATTTTACACCTCTAATTTTGGCATGTTTTGTTACTCAGCATTGTTATATCAATAGCTGACCAATACAGCTAGGAAGCTGTGTAGCTAGGATATAAGCATAATCAATTTGAATCATTAGCTCCTCTTCCAGTTACTCTGCTTTATCACATTGGAAGTTTGTACTGAAATAATGCACAGTATTTGTTTATCCCAGTTTCTGACACCTCTACATTATTACAGAATCCATTAGCTAGAAATGTCTATGATAGAGTTCCATATTTTTTCTGACCAAAGATCTATAATATTCTATATGATTATGTGTGTCCTTGCTCCAAGCTGGTTCCCATGGGCAATATTACTTGGTATTGGTTCTAATTCTTACATCACAGATTCTTAGCCTCTGTGACAACAAAATCTTGAAGTTCTATTTTTAGTTCATGGTGTTTAGCAAAAAAATCTTTATTTATTTTCCCATTTTTCTCTTACTTCTGTCCTAAATTCCTAGTTCATGAAGTCATACAAAACTAGAAGTTCAGGAGGTAAGCATATCTTGTGAATAACTGAGGGGGGTCCTAAATATGCTGAATGTGTGCTTGCTCTTCCTATGATGAATTTGTTCTTTTTAGTGTAAGAAGAAAATATATACCCAAACCCCCTTAAAATATTCCCTCCACACTTTTCTTCAATACTATTTCCTGTTCTCTAGAAGTTATTACATATCTAGAACATTGCCCTATAACATTCTCATGCTCATTCATCTGTTCCCCCAAAGGTACACACTCTCGAATACTCATCTCATGTCCCCTACATCCTATTGAACTTGTGGACCCAAGGACAAGATTATTAGGTGTGGGTAGCTGACCTTGTCTAATTGTTACCTATATTGAGAGGAACAAGACAGGATCAACAGTGTTTGATCATCAATAGTGGTGATATCCACCATCCACATGCATTTACTATATTGTCTTCTATATTGCCAAAGAAGAAAGTAAAATACTATCTGGCTTTCCTTTCACAGGAAAGATTGTAGGACTGTAACTTGAGTAATCCTAAAGAAGATTGGAGTTTGATTTCCTGAGAGTAGCAGTTGGCTATGGATCCTTCATGTGTCTTCCTTTCAGGCACTGCACATGATTTATTGTCCACAAGGACACAGGACAGAGTGTGCTGAGATGGATAAGGTATAAGCAGATCTTGATTCCTCAGTGTGAAGAACAAGTGAGCACTGTCCTTACTTTTCTGGCCAGTAACAGAAAGGCCTTGCTCATGGAAAGTTCCTTCTTCTGTGACTTGATAGCATGACTATATGTTGTAGAGACTAACATATACCAGCTGGGAAAGAGTAAGTTTGATAAAACACCCAAGGAGATGTTCAGCAATATTGAATCCAAGTTCATGCTAGGCAGGAGAGAAAATGACATATAAAATTTGTATCTTAGAATTTATAAACATGAAGGAGGGATGACTTGGGTCTATGACATAAAGATAAAATTAAGTGGAGATCAAATCTTCTCTTCTGCTATAAGTATAACCTCATTTATCCAGGAATTTGTATAGGTAAATGACCTTTATTGAGTCACACATAAAGTTTTAAGTTTTGCAGACTAATACCTAAAAAGAAGAAAGAGATGAATCTAGCAGATGCTGCCAACATAAAAGCAATCTGAGGCTCAAAGAAGCATAAAACCTTCATAGAAACTCATTTTCTTCCCCACTTAGAAAAAATGGATCAAAAAGCCAAACCCTAATTCCTCCTACACACTGATCCCCACTGGGATTACATATTAGCTTCTATTATGCCCACAGAACATCGAGGTCAAATGGGAAAGACAGCTGAACTTGTCTGGCTGATGCACTAAATGGGGAAGCCATCAGTACTTTTTGATTTTGATGTTTGTTTGTTTTGTTTTCCAATATGACTTTATGCCATAATCTTCATCACACTGAGAACAAACTAGAGGCAGAAGTAGAATTTCTGGTTCTAGCTTTAACTGTGACTTCGAGCCATAAGATCTTGGTCTACTCCTCAGTAACCATGTCTTAATTTTAACTTAATTTCATTTATATGTTAATTAATATATTATTAGTGTTTCTTTATATATGTTTGCCATATATACCACCACCACTACCACCATCACCACCACTACCATCACCACCACAGCCATCACCACCACCACCACCACCACCACCACCACCACCACCACCATCACCACCACCACAACTATCACCACCACTACCTCCACCACCACCACCACCACCACCACCATCACCACCACCACAACTATCACCACCACTACCACCACCACCACCACCACCTCCACCACTCTCACACTGTGTCTTTATCTTTTGTGAGAGTGATACCCTTAATCTCTTCAACGCAAAAAGACTATCCAATATCAACTATTTTACAAGTTACCTCAACAAAGAAAACCTACAGAAACCCTCCCAAAGAAGCCAGCTAGTGCTGGGCCTCCCCACCCCAACTTCTTATAAATACCTTCTGGGTCTAAAGGCCAAGAAGCAAAGAGATCACAGTTTAGACTTAATTCTTGACTGAGATTCTCATACTATATTCAAAGTCAAAATTTGCTGATCTCTCTCTGTATCATAAAAGTGTTTGTAAAATGTAAATATGTTTTAAAATGGTGATCTGGCCTCTGTGGTAGAAGAAATTATCCACAATTCATTTTCCTATTGGATATGTCAAGACAGAAAATACAGTCTTGATTATTGTCCCATAAAAACTCCGGAGCAGTGAAACGACCAGAGAATGTTTGACCACCACAACAGAAGACCTATGGAAGCAGGGGTGAGGCTCAGTGAGGGAAGGATGCAGAAGGCATATAAAAGAGTCATCTCCTTTCTCAGCACCACACAGCAGCAGCAAGGCAACATGGCATATCAGCTAGAAAAGTGGGAGGCCAAAGAAATGGCCCCACTTGTTACCAAGGACTTTCTTCATGCTGAAGAATAGAATTGCTGTGCGTCCTAGAAATGAGAACCCAAAAGGCCATCTTAGACTGTGTGCCACAAGGAGAGTCCATCAGGATCATCTCTATCTTGATGGTGAAGTTGGCATTGAATTTCACAAAGTCACGTGGCAAGTTAAAGAGTAAGTAGTAAGGAATGTTTGGACCATGAGGAAACCAGTCAGTGGTCAGAGAGAAAGCAGAAGACAGTCAACTAGTGATCCCATTGTCCCTCAGAAGCAGCCAAGAACCAGAACTTGGCTTATATGCATCATACAACTAAAGTCGAGGGATGGTCCGAGGGATGGGACCATGTCCCACTTGCCTTACATTGACTTTTGTGAACAAATGTGAGGGAGCAGGCCTATCTGTGGAGAATGCACAAGCTGCTTGGCACCAAGCAGCCCGACTGTGCATGCCAGCTGTTTGTGGGCTGCATCTGCACCTGGAGTCCCTAGAGTCATGAGCGGTCTTTCTCCTACAAGGGAAGAGGTACAGGACAGTGCAAAGCTGAACTTGTGCACAGCTCCTTCCTCTGAGAGAAGTGTCGTGAAACATGGAGCCAGCCCCATAGCCTCATTTTCAACACATTCCAGGAAAGATCCAGGATCATTTTCCAAAGATTCGACTGGCTCTTCCTTGGGTACTGTGTGAATAACCTAGTATCTTCTCATTGTATTAGGGATCCAGATGAAGAGTTGTAAGGCTGAGGAAGACTCTCATTGCAGTACATTAATTAAAATAAAACATGAGTTACAGTGATCCTTTTAAAATAAATTGAATAGAATGCAATTTATAGTGACTTTTTGTTTTCTTTTTTAACTACTTAAAAAAAAGTTCCAAGGTTGTGTTCCATGAGAACATTTCATTACCTGGTTGAATTTAAGTGACTTAATTGATGTAGTTAAAGCATTAACTTTGCTGATAAGAACCAAAATGACTCAGGGCAAAGCCATTGTCACATTGTTATTATTTAACATGGACTGCAAAGCGCTGTGCACAGTTAGACACGGTCTATGTCCCAGGGGCATGCAATCCCAGCAAGGTTGTTATATGGTATTCATTGCAATTTGATGAACTTCATTTATCTAGACAGCCACTTATTTAGGATGAATTGGGACCTTACTGAATCATCTTAATTCAGAGGCTTCTCCTGCACCGTGAGTCTGCAGCCGCTATTAAACTTGGGAAGATTTGGTAGCCATGACACAATGAATGTATTATTCTCCAGGAATTCTCTGGTGTGATGAATCATGAGCCTTATGGACAGGTGTTGGGCGATACTTGCTCTCACCTGTCTTCCCTTTAGGCTTTAAGTATGATATCAATGCTGCACTCACTGTTACTCATCTTTTCCAATAAAGGAGTTATCTGTCACTGGTGATGCTGTTTCCCCAATAGCACAATCATTCAATTCTTGGGGAAAAAAATCACACAGCCTGAAACCCTGGTACAAGACAAGGGTTCCCCTAGGCACTGAGCTCTCTGAAGCTATGAGTTAATGAGGAGAGAGAATTCTTTCTGTGGCAGATCCAGCCATTTTATGGCATTCTGTTCCTAATTGAGAGTAGGCACTCCCATAAACTATGCAAGGAGGATTTATTTGGGTTATTTACAAGACCAAAGGAGGAAACATGCAAATAGAAAGGCTTGAATATAGAACAAGTCCAATGGCTGAACAATTGTAAATTCTATTTATGGACCATAGGGATTTGGGGGTTTTCTTTCCTAAGGTGGGTAATATGTAAGATTTGGAGAGAAAAGAAAAAACCTTTAGGACTGCAACTCTCTAAATTCTTAGCCTCTTTTTTAGTTAATTCCCATCAACTCCTTCAATGTGTGCCAAGGCTGTAGTCTCTTGTGCTCCTGCTCAAATTTGGAAATGAAAAGCTGAACAATACATATGAGTTCTTAAACGTCATGGCAACTTTCAGCCATCTTCTCAGACCTGAGAAGCACTAGGGGCATTGCATCCTATAAGTTTCTACAGAGAAGCAGAATAGGTAGAACACAGACACATACCACATGTATACAAACATACATATACACTCAGTTATACACATACACATGTGCACACATGCACATCACACATATACAAACACACACTTATGCACATATATCTATACATACATACATACTTGCCCATATTCATAATATACACAGAAACACACACATAACCATGTACACACTACCCATACATACATATATACAAACACAAGCACAAATATACATATAGGCACACATGTACATACACACAAACATACAAACACACACACATACACACATATCTGTATACATATACACACACTTGCATATATCCATACACATAGACATTATGCATTGTGGTAGTTTGAATGTAATTGGCCCCCATAACCTCATAGAGAGTGGGACTATTCAGAGGTGTGGCCTTGTTGGAGTGGGTATGGCCTTGTTGGAGGAATTGTGTCTCTGTGGTGTGGTGGTATTGTGTTCCCCAAAATATTGTGTACTCTAATAAATTTATCTGGGGTCAGAGAACAGACAGACACTAAATACAAAGGCTAGAAAATGGTGGCACTCACACCTTTAAT